ACAGACCGACTCATTGACCACGTCCAAATGGCTACAGATTCCTTGCTACAACAGGTCCCATCCGCAGAGATCGTGATCCTTGGCGATTTTAACGCCCACCATGCCGAATGGCTCGGTTCACGTCTAACCGATCATGCGGGGAGATCTGTTTATGACTTTGCCTTGGCATATGGTCTGACACAACTGGTTACTTCGCCTACGCGGATTCCAGATGTGGAGGATCATACACCTTCCCTGTTGGACCTTCTGCTGACCTCTCATCCGGACGGATATCAGGTTTCCGTCGATGCCCCTCTCGGCTCTTCGGACCATTGTCTGATCCGGAGTGTGGTGCCACTCACGCTCCCTTCGCGGTTGCGTTCTGCAGGTTGCCGCCGTGTTTGGCATTACAGGTCGGCGGATTGGGACGGAATGCGGTCTTTCTTTGCATCCTACCCATGGGGGCGGGTTTGCTTCTCGCCGGACGATCCCAGCGCTGTTGCTGACTCTGTCACTGATGTGGTGCTACAGGGAATGGAACTATTTATTCCATCATCTGTGGTGCCCATCGGAGGCAGATCTCAGCCTTGGTTTGGTCGCTCCTGTAAGACTGCATTACGCAGTAAGTAGGAGTGTTATCAAGCCTGGGCTGCGGCTTCGGCGACTCGGGATGCACACTTAAAAAGAAGTATAACTTCGCCTCCAGGTCCTTCAAAAGAGTTATTTCCAAGGCAAAGTCAGAGCACATAGGCAGAATTGGCGAGAAACTAGTTCGCCTTCCTTCGGGAACCCGTGCATTCAGGTCTCTCGCCAAGGCTGTCCAAGGGAATTTCTGTAAGCCATCACTACCATCTCTGCACAGGGAGGATGACTCACTGGCCCATGACGCAAAAGACAAAGCCGAGCTTTTAGGCTCCCTTTTTGCGTCCAACTCGACTCTTGATGACGGGGGGAAAACACCGCCGACCATCCCGCGGTGTGAGTGCTCCATGCCGGATGTGCTGTTCTCACAGCGCTCGGTTCGCAAAGCACTGCTCTCCCTGGACATCCAGAAGTCGAGTGGGCCTGACGGAATCCCCCCAATTGTGCTGAGGACGTGTGCTCCGGAGTTGGCACCGGTCCTAACGCGTCTTTTCCGGTACTCCTACTCCCAAGGCGTAGTCCCGAATTCATGGAAGACAGCTTTTGTCCACCCGATCCCTAAAAAAGGCGACCGCTCAGACCCATCCAACTATAGGCCTATCGCGATCACCTCCTTGTTCTCCAAAATAATGGAATCCATTATTAACTGCCAGCTCATCCGGTACCTTGAGGATCACCAGCTGATTAGTGACCGCCAATACGGTTTTCGTCGGGGTCAATCAGCTGGTGATCTTCTGGTCTACCTGACCCATAGATGGGCGGAGGCAGTAGAGTCCAAGGGGGAAGCGTTGGCCGTTAGTCTGGACATTGCGAAGGCCTTCGATCGGGTTTGGCACAAAGCGCTTCTTTCGAAGCTCCCTTCCTATGGGCTTCCCGAGAAATTGTGCAATTGGATCACCAGCTTCCTTGCAGATCGGAGCATCAAGGTCGTTGTAGACGGTGCATGCTCTGACTACAAACCTATTAACGCTGGTGTTCCACAAGGCTGTGTGCTATCACCAAGCTGTTTCTTCTGCATATCAATGATATGTTGCTAACTGGTAACATTCATTGCTATGCGGATGACAGCACTGGTGATGCTCTATACACCGGCCGTGCCAATATTTCTCGGGAAAACGTCGCTGAGTACCGGAACAAACTTGTGTCTGAAGTCGAGTCTTTGCTGAGCAAAGTCTCGGATTGGGAGCGACTAAATCTAGTCCAGTTTAATCCTCAGAAGACACAAGTTTGCGCGTTTACCGCTAAAAAGAACCCCTTTGTCGTATCTCCTCAGTTTCAAGGCACTCCCCTTCTTGCCTCAGCCAGTATCGGTTATCTCGGAGTCGACATATCGAGTGACGTGCAGTTTCGTGGTCACTTGGAAGGGAAGGCCAAATTGGCCTCTAAAAAGCTTGGCGTGCTCAGCAGAGCGGGACAGTATTTCATGCCGGCACACCGCCTGCAACTTTACAAGGCGCAAGTTCGGCTTCACATGGAATACTGTTCCCATTTCTGGGCAGGGGCTCCCCAGTGCCAGCTCCTTCTACTTGACCGCATCCAGCGCAGAGCGGCTCGAATCTTCGATGACCGAGCCCTTTCCGATCGGCTCGATTCATTGGCACTGCGAAGAGATGTTGCATCCCTTTGCATTTTCTTTCGCATCTACCATGGGGAGTGCTCTGAGGAATTGTTCGGATTAATCCCAGCCGCCATATTTCACGAACGCACATCGCGGCAGAACTCCCGATACCACCCACACCATCTGGATGATTGGCGGTCCACCACTGTGCGATTTAGAAGATGTTTTCTTCCTCGCCCGACCTCCTTGTGGAATCGATTACCATCAGCGATTTTTCCGGACCGATACGACTTAGGGACCTTCAAGAAAAGAGCGTACTCCTTTTTAAAAGGCCGGCAACGCATTTGCGATTCCCCTGGTGTTGCAGTTGTTCATGGGCGGCGGTAGTCACTTACCATCAGGTGAGCCGCATGCTCGTTTGCCCCCTATCCTATAAAAAAAAAATTTGTAAGTGTATAAAAATTAAAAATAAATTATTAAGAAATAAACATATTTAATACAGTACAGTGGGGATTATTTGTAGTGCTTTTCGTCGTAACATAAAAGTAATAGTACTATTTTGTGTTACGATATAAAAGCACTTTGGGTAACCTCATTAAACTGTTATAAATAACACTCCATTAATTGGCACAAATGAGCGTACATATTATTTTTGTGTAAAATAGTTTTGTACGGTTCGCGTGTGTCCAGACGGCGGCAGCTGCCGTCGATCGAGGAGGCGTGGAACCTGCCTATATCTGCGGAGATGTCGTCGCGCGCGCCCAAGGCCGCGCCGCCGCCCTACCCCGGCGCCGGCGCGGGCGCGGCCGCGGGAGCCGGCGCCGCCAAGCGCGACGAGCCCGCGCCGCTGTCGCACCACCAGCTGCAGACGCTGCAGTACCTGCAGCGCAACGCCCACAACCTCTCCCCGCAACAACAAGTAAACCCACGCTAATTAATTATTACAACAATTGCTGCGAGCCTACTGCTCGAACTTCCACCGTAATTCCTTCAATTTTAAGTTTGTATTATGCCATCTGTATTTCACTTTCCACTACACATTAATATTTAAAAAAACCGGCAAAATGCGAGTCGGACTCGCGCACCGAGGGTTTTAAGGGTTTCAAGATTCTGAGTTCACGGGAAGTACCCTGTAGGTTTTGATTCCCTTGCGAATGTCGAAAATTTACGGCATAAACGGCTGTATCTTTTGATTGCGTTGGCTTAGAAGTTTGATTTTTTTACAGCTCTAAGGGACAGTAGACTTCAGTATTTAATATGAATTTCAGCTTGATACCTCCACGCGTTCCTGAGAAAAAGAGTCTTGACAGACAGACAGACAGACGGACAACAAAGTGATAAGGGTTCCGTTTTTTCCTTTTGAGGTACGGAACCCTAAAAACATTAAAATATGCTTTATATGCCTAATGATACACTCAACATACTATTAAATAAGGAATATTTGAAATCGCTCTAAAAATTCACAGCTTATTCAATCAATGTGTTAGTAATTATTTGTCGGTAATATTGTAAAATTCTTTAACGACAAACTTTATCTACACTGTGCAACTTGTAACCACAGAGTATTTAGTGTTTGACAATGGCAGTATGAATGTAAACAATGAATATTTTATTAATTTAATTGAATGTTGTATTTATAACGCAAATAAATTTTAGCTTTCTGCACTCTTTCTTTATATTATCTTTAAACATGCCTTATCTCACACTCCTGTGCGTAATATACTTATCAAGGAGAGCAAAGTTTTCTTCACGTATTAAAATAAAAGATGTACAATTTATCAATGCCAGATATCAGTTTCGCTATCACCACAACGTACAACTGGTAGTAAAAACTATTAAAGCGCGACTTTATCTTATGAATTCTTTTGTTATCAAAAAAGAAAGTATGTATGGTATGACGAGTGTCAATTTAATCAGGGATCAAATGGGAACTATTCAGTTAGGTAATAGATTTTGTAGTGTTAGATAATAATATTTGCACACTTCAATAAATCCACTAAGTAGATAAGATGTCGTCAGGTGAACGTAGCTTCACAATACTGTGACATAATTAGAATTGCTGTTAATCGTTCATTAATTACAGTCGGTCAAAAGTACTCATAAGGTGCCATTATTTTCCATTATGCTACGATTGTTAGGCGGGTTGCCAACCGCAGTTTTTTTTTTTTATATTACAAACTATGCTTATAAATACTTTAAGATCAAGACAGTCGAATTTAAACGCACTGCTTTACAGTTTTGCAACCCGTACCTTTAATTTTTTTAATTTTAGTTTAGAATTTAGGAATTTAGATTTTCGGCGTTGTCCCTAAACAAATGTTTGAAATTAGGAATTTTTTATTTGGATCAATAATATTAGTTTTTCATTAGGTTACACACAGCCCCGTTTGTTACTTTGTGAGATAATTAATATTGTAATATTTTGTGAATAAATCAAAATATGATGATAATACGGCTACATATAATAATGAAATAATTATAATATAATTATAATGATGCAATGACATGACGATAACAATTTAAAGATATTATTAAGAGTTGTGTACACCGAATAAACACTGACCGAAAAATTTAACTCCAAAATCACTGACAACTCTACTTTATTAATTGTTAGATCAAATGACGATTTACATGTTATATACAAGTTTTTTCTTTTCAGGCGCTGATGCAACAACTGCTGTCACAGTACCGTCTAGCGCAAGCGGCGAAAGCGCGTGCGGTTTGTATGCTTTTTCCCCCACCTATCCCTTCCAAAATGGCGGCAGGTTTTTAGGCTTTTTAAATTGTCACACGCAAAATCTAACTGTATTTATATGTGCAGGTGACGAAAAGCGAAGGTAGCAGCGCCAGTGGCGGTGAGAGCGCGGAGTCTCTCGCCGAAGATCTGCTGAAGAGATTTTCGGACTCGCAGCCGGACATCAAAAAGGAACCCTCCACAAGTAAGTATCTACAAAGAAACCAGGTCCAACCCATAAAGGCTCTAAATAAAGTTACACATACTGACAATGTAACAAAGGACTTGTTAGCTCCGCTTCACTTCGTGGAAATTTAATGAATTCAATGATATTGATTATACGTGTAAGATCACTCGCTGAAATACACCTTTCATCAGCCTGTGAATAGTTCACTGATATACTTCAGCCTCTCCAATATTACAAAGGATTTGATGCCATCTCCATGCTTGTCAAATTGTTGAAGTGGCGATCGTAATACTAACGCTGTAAATTGTTTGTCATATATATATATATATATATATATATATATATATATATATATATATATATATATATATATATATATATATATATTTTAACACACATAAAAAACATACAGTCGAATTGAGTACCTTCTCCTTTTTGAAGTCGGTGGAAGGATATGAGTAAGAAGCCTTAAAGTGAAGTAACAAAGATACTTAAATCCACCTGATGGTAAGTGGCTTTAGCAGTCCATAGACTTCCAACTTCAACTTCAAACAAAGAAGGCTACAAATACATTGTAACCTCCGGGACCTAAGTTGGTAAGATGGAAAGCCTCACAGCCTGTAATTATATTGGCTTACTATACCCTTCAAACCAAAACAGGAGTGCTGGTACTGCTGTTAAGCAGCAGGAATAAGGAAGAAGCAAGGGGGGTAGGGTTGTATCTACCCAGCAGACTCCTAGGAAGAAAAGAAGTCCTGCCACCTAGTAATATGTCCAAGCTCCACGTCTTCAAGGCAATAGTTCTCAGTGAAAGAGAGCAGGAGACTATTGTCTGTCTTCAAGACTTTAAGAGCGTCGCAATATATATATATATACATACATATAAAAAAACCCATGGGAACGGATGGGTAGTTTTAATACCGTACGGGGAGAGACTAAAGCTCTCCTTAGTCTCTCCCCGTACGGTAGTCTCTACTAATTTACCATTCAAACCCGGTTGCCGGTTTCGACATATTCAAGCACCGGTAAGCGACATGTTCTATCCTCGCAAGCATTGTTTTAGGAGGTTTCATATCTACGTCAATCATTGATTAATCAAACAATAAAATACAACCTTCAAACATTGGTTAGTACAGCATGGCATTAAGTTCAATTTGTTAACACTACTTTATCACTACGCATGTTATACTAATTTACACTAATTTATGATGGGTTTTCTGATCTTGGTGTATCATACCATTGTATTTTTTTTTTTGTCTTAAAAATCCTAATTTTTCTCTAAATTTGTTCTTGTGCGTTATTTTTTCTATTTGCGGGATACTTGGGCATGATAACACCGAAAAAGAATTGTAGTAATATAAAGGATATTATATTTAAATTATTCACGAGAAGAATAAAGTACATAAAATTATTAACTCCGTTATTTTTTAGTAAGTAGTCTAATGTGTCTATGGTTGAAAGATATTTTAGGCAGGTCCAGGTGTAATTGAAAGGAGTTTAGATAGTTCGATGCTAGAAATTAGTTAGATAGTTAAGAATATTAGAGGATACTAAAACAGTGTGCATTCCAAGGTGTGCCGGTATTCGTTGGATACCGGAACACATTGGAATGCATGTTTAATTTCATAAGACGACACTTGTTACGTTTCAGAATTGCATAGGTAGTGGTCAGTTTTATGTCGATCAGTAAATTTCATATATAGACAAATTTGACCGAATGATATTTTGAGTTTTGAATGAATGATTCGCTTTTATTTGACAAACTTCTATACAGATAAGTAAACTAAGTACTCACTATTTTTAATGGGAGTAAAATAGTAAATTTTAAAATTTGGTTTTTGTACCTAATCTGATCCCTGATCTAACGATATTAATGTGGTGCAAAACCGGAAATCGACTCAACATATTAGTATGATACCACAAAGTTGTAGCAAAGCTGCGGTGCATTTCGCGCTTTTTCACTAAGGCCTATACCTTTTAGCATGTCATAAATTTTACAATGAAAACCCACAGTGTAGAAACTGATTTGATAAATGCGATGTAATGAAATGATTTAGATTTTAGATGCATTAAAAAATCAAACTAATATTAAGTCGCAAATTTTCACGACTTCAGACACGGCGTAATGACGTTGTCTGTAGATTTATTACTCTGCGGTAATACGAGGTAATCGGCACAAAGTAATTACAGTGTAGAAAAAAAACACCGAGACAGTTTTACAACATTCATTAATTTTTACACCTGCCTACATAATAGATAGTGCCTAAAAACTTAAGACTAAGCAATAAATTGAATAATATTTTCATTCGGATATAACTATTTGAATGAAATTTTGTATTTCAGAATTTGTTTTACTTTCTAATGGCCAAATACTTAAACCCACAGTCACTTTGACTTAAAGTAATAGAGAAAGCACGAGACTTAACGGCATCTTAAAATTGAGTAACGTTAGAATATTTGGGCATAAGTTATCGAGATAAACTTTCTCAAGTATAACTATAATTTTCTCAAGGTGTCATTCTGGAGAAAATTATATATGTACCTGTATATATTTAATTCGAGCAATGCGATGCATCAACACCACAACGAATGCTTCGCGTCAAGTATACTATTGCGGTGGGCAAATAAGATTTTATAAATACACGGCGCACTCTGTGTCATAGACTTATATACTGGCGTATACTATGTATTTTAACTTATTATGGAACTTTTACTAAATTCAAATCTTACAATGTCTAAAGTGGCAATCACTGTCATGTTGTGACAATGATCAATGCAATATGGAAAGACGTGTATGGCGTATATGTTAGTTCAATGAAAAATTATTTTTGTATATTACACACATTGCGTATTGTCATATCATTTTAATCATGTCATTATTTCACAGTAGGTAACTGCGTTTTAGCGTAGTATTATCAGGTATTATCGAACGTACGAGTTAGATTTCATGTCACTATGGCTTCATTGTCTTATCGTTTCTTTGATATTGTCATACTACAGATGGATTTGGTTTTTAGATTAAATTTTTTACTTATATCCCAAGAAAACTTAACATTTTGGAAAGGTACGAGTATTAAGGCTCATTCTATTTCTAATTCTTTTATGTTTTGTTAAAAGAAATGATCGCGTTATTTTATTCTTACAGTCGTTATTTTATTCTACGCTATTAAAAACGTTACTTTTTCAAATCAATTCTCCCGAAACAGCACATAACCATTAATGATTATTTTTTTAATTTGTCTCCTAGATCTTGTATAAGTTTACTGCTGGACATTGGCCCCTTCCGTCGTAGAGATCTGTCAATGGTTACGCTTGGTAGGCGGAATGACGATCGCAGTAACAAACGTCTCGGTCTTTAGGCGCTACTGCCTGTCGCAGGTCTGGGTATTTTATGACTGGTGTAAACTAGACGGTTATATCGCCACGTATCGGAAGCCATTAGGTTTTTTTAGCATTTCCCATAGGCTTCTTACGACATTCAGGGCACGAAATGGAGTGATGGATTCCCTTACTACATGCTAACATGTTTGAAACCTTACCTATAAAGTTATGTTAAGTCGCAAAAAGTCACTCGTTTACAATCGAAATGATGAACTAATTACAAAAGAACACTTATCAAAGTACTTGAAGAATTGAGATAATAATTGTTTATTTCAGATTGGATTTTCTACATGACCCGAGATGAAATAATGAAGTAAAGATGTTAAAAATTAATTAGCTACGAACAGATCCGCTTAATGAAATAAAGTGATGTGTCTTACCTAGTTTGAAGAGCACCTCCCGCCCTTCCTCAATTGCGTGCACTAGCCCTGTTACCACTAATCCCAGCACAACTTCATCAAGAAAGACACCACCATTGATAAAGACACGTGTTTCGCCTATAAACGAGTCATCCTCAGGTGAAGTGAAGATGCAGTGGGGCTGACCGCTAAAACTCCTTAGACATATCATTTTATTTAATTACACGGAGATTTTAGCTAATTAATATTTAACATTTTTAATATTTTCCACAAAGTAACGCCTGATTCTATTAATTATCTAAATAATAAAGATAAAAGTAGGTACCTGAGGTACAATGTATCATCGGAAACTAGGTTAGAATATAAAATAAATCACGAGTGTTTTGAATTGAGAATTTATAATGCATCAATAACGAATGATCTGTATGTTTTATTTTATTCTCAGTGGAAAATGCGAGCAACGGTAGCAATAGCAGCGAGGTGGTACTTGGTGGCCGACAACCCGTCGTCAAGCTCGAGCCGCTCAAAACTGATCCCCACAAACCTGTCACCTTCCATATTGGCATGAGCGCCAAACAGATACTCGACACTTGCAAGTATGCTTCGCGATTTTTATAAGTTTGCATCGTGTTTCTAATATTAAATATCAGCAGGGCATCGTCGTTGATTGCGGTATATTTTGGTGAGTAAGTACTTCTATGTGAGCAGCATACTTCACTTGTGGCAGCAGCAGCTGCAGTTGATATCTTCTTCCTTATAATCGTATTTGCATTGGCATTATCTACTTCTCTTATCATCTTTTCTTAACCCACTGCTGGCTATGGGTTTCTTCAGTAATACGCACACTATATTGTGTTAAAATAAACTTTGCCTTCACTACATAAGGCAAATTCATTGGTGTGCGCAGAAACGATACCAGTCATATGGGTCCTATACACCATAGGGAATGAGTGACAACCACAGAATGGGGCACGATTGTCACAATCATAGCGCGGCTGCCCACACAATCGTGCGTCCTACATATTTGTGTTGTCATCTGTCCGAGATCCGAGATGGTCTTTGAAACAGTAGCAGCTGCCGCTATTTATTTTAATTAGTTTATAATATAACTTTTATTGAAATGTAGACCATAACAGAGTGGTGAAAAAAAAGGAAGTTGTTCTATTTTTACCTGTTCTATTTCGGTGTATGGTAATTATACACCGAAATAGAACAAGGTAAGTTTATTGAGCATCGGCGTTCGGCGATCATATAGACGCAGACGCGCGCACGATCATGGCCGAACTTCCTTTGATGTTTGCCCGAAAAACCGACACAGCGGCCATTACGCTCGATCATTACTGATCATGGGAAGTTATAGGCGATTATGCCCTCTACACGATCGTGATCGCTAGAATTCGTCCGTCATGGCCGATGGTGTATAGGTCCCATGAGGTATTGAATATATCCTCGCTATCTATCGATCGGCCGAGTAGTTTTTAAGGTGCAATGGTTAATTTGATTCCGTCGTAGATGAGGTGGTTAAATCACCATCTATCGGAAGCCAATTACATTTTCTTAGCATTTCTCATCATCGCCTCTTACGACACAAACGTGATGGGTTAATTTTTTCTAACAACCGCATCTGCTTGTGGTATACCTTGACCGACCGATAGTAGTAAATTAATTAACAACTACTGACCTCAAATTTCTGTTTTGTGTTGGGAAAATGAAATTTGAATGGGAGTAGTATGATTGAATAGACTGCGGTCACCATCAAGTGGTGCCGGCTGACACATTTTTAAAAAGGACTTTACAATAGTAAATTTAAAAAACTGACGGTGTGTGATTTGTGTGTTAGGTAATTGTCCGTAAAACGTAGTGGTTGTTTGCGCAGGGAGAACGCGGGTCCGGCGACGGCGTGGTCGGTGCTGGGCGACGGGTGCGGCGCGCCCGAGCCGCCGGCCGTGCCCGCGCCGCGCCTCTCGGCCGAGCAGCTGGCGCCGCCCGCGCCCTTCGTCTACGTCGAGTCCAAGCGCGACGCCTTCTCGCCGCAGCTGCAGGACTTCTGCCTCAAGCACCCCATCGCCGTCGTGCGCGGCCTCACCGCCGCGCTCAAGCTCGACCTCGGCCTGTTCTCCACCAAGACGCTCGTGGAGGCGTGGCCCGACCACGCGGTGGAGGTGCGCACGCAGCTGATGCAGTCGGCCGACGAGAACTGGGACGCGAGCGGGCGGCGGCGCGTGTGGGCGTGCGCGTCGCACCGGTCGCACACCACGGTGCGCAAGTACGCGCAGTACCAGGCCGGCTCGTTCCAGGAGTCGCTGCGCGAGGAGCGCGAGCGCGGCGCCGCGCCGCCGCACGCCGGCGCGCTGTCCGACTCGGACGGCCGCGAGTCCGGCGGCCCCGTCAAGCGCCGCAAGAGCGCGCGCATGCTCCGCTTCGGCACCAACGTCGACCTGTCCGACGAGCGCAAGTGGCGCCCCCAGCTCATGGAGCTGCAGAAGCTGCCCGCCTTCGCGCGCGTCGCCTCCGCCGCGAACATGCTCTCCCACGTCGGCCACGTTATCCTCGGCATGAACACCGTCCAGCTGTACATGAAAGTGCCCGGCAGCCGGACGCCCGGACACCAAGAGAACAACAACTTCTGCTCGATAAACATCAACATCGGACCCGGCGACTGCGAGTGGTTCGGTGTTCCGGACGCTTACTGGGGTGGAGTTCGTGAGCTCTGCGACCGCCACGGTCTTTCATATCTTCACGGGTCCTGGTGGCCGGACCCGGAGGAACTTCGGGCGCACGGCGTGCCCGTCTACAGATTCACGCAACGCCCGGGAGATCTAGTGTGGGTGAACGCCGGCTGCGTACATTGGGTGCAAGCCACGGGATGGTGCAACAACATCGCTTGGAACGTCGGACCGTTGACAGCTCGTCAGTATACTCTCGCACTTGAACGCTACGAATGGAACAAAGTGCAGAACTTCAAGTCGATCGTGCCCATGGTTCACTTGTCGTGGAATCTGGCCCGAAACATTCGCGTTTCCGATCCGAGACTGCACCGCGCGATGAGAACATGTCTCATGCAGACTTTGCGAGCGGCGGCCGGTACCTTAAACGTGGTTCGCGCTCGAGGCGTCCCGATCCGGTTCCACGGGCGCGCGCGCGGCGAGGCGTCGCACTACTGCGGCGCGTGCGAGCGCGAGGTGTGGCACGCGCTGCTCGTGCGCGAACACGAGCGCCGCCACGTCGTGCACTGCCTCGCCTGCGCCCGCCGGCTCAGCCCCACACTGAGCGGCTTCCTTTGCCTCGAAGAACACCACATCGAAGAACTTGCGCAAGTGTACGACGCCTTCACACTCCACCGTTCCGCTCCCCTAGCTGCACCCGTACAAATACCGTCACTCGTGCCTACCCCCGATTGATTTCCGTCTGCCCTATTGCACGACTGGAACGTTTCTGCACTCCTGAATTCACAAACTGAAACTTAGACGCTCGGCACTGAAACGCAGATCTCGTATTTATTCCGCGTTTCGATGTATTATAATATGTAAGTCGTTTTTACACTTGAGTTTCACATACATTGGCGTTATATACAATAATATATACATACAATAGTCCCTGAATATATTCGTTTGAGCTTTAGTTTTAACATCGACTGCCATTTATTTAATTTTATATAACTATTCACATACAGTTTTACATTTCACATAACTTTGTCTCTACATTAAAACGTAAATATAATATATTATATATAGGCGACCTTTAGATTTAGGACTACCGAAATATATATTTTATTTTGGTGACATTTTAGAGTTTTTATATTTTCAATAGTATGATGCGATCCTGATGACGTACCTGTTTTTATTTTGTGTGAGTGTCTGATATTTCTCTCGACAGAAGATGCTTTTCCGGTTTTATTTGTCGTTTTTGTTCTTGTAACTGTACAAATTGATAAGAAATAAGCATTTTATAAATTTTAGTTCAGTATTGAACGCTAGCTTAGTTCCCGTAAATTGTGCTTACCGATGTTAATGTTATATATGACCAAAAGTGAACATTTAAACGATAATTTACAATCACGATCTATTTTTACTACACGGCGTAAATATAAAAAATAGTAATTGTGATGCGTATATTTTTGGTGAAAAAAGTAAATTGTAATGAAATAACTTTTTAACATTTACACGCTCCTCGATCACTTTTGTAATTGTGAGAGATATGATAAAATTGTGAAGTCAATTTTACGGTGACAAAAAGCCGGTAATATAAGCAAAAGTATGTAAGTGATAGTTTTAATTGTTTAGCTAGATATTGATTAAGTAAACAGACAGGTCGATCCGCTAGGTCTCAAGTGCTCAGGTGTCTGTGTTCACCACAATAAATGTGTTATTTTTGTATAGAAACGTATTTATTTATTTTTTGTCATATCGTGACGTCCTTAGTTACATTTACGATTTTTAGTACATTAATAGCGAATAGTAGGCTTAGGTATATGGCACGGATTGTGATCCTGCGTTTTAGGAGGGTCTATTGAATAGTGCTGCTGTGTTCCAAAGAATGTTATACACTTTTAAGCAAGGTACTATTGGAAAGCGTTCGAATAAATTCACAGTATGTTCACATATTTTATAGACATTGTCATATGCTTGGGATCTGAAAAAGTATTTTCATTTCGGAAACAAACAAAAGCGATCAATCGGTGTCATTGGAATGTAAGAAATTTAGGCATTTTTTTTGGATTGGTGTAGTAAGTATTAGGAAGGATAGCTGAGTAAGTTCAGAGTTGGCAGTAAGCAGCCTGAATTAATATCTTGACACTGCTGTTGGTTGTTTCTCTTCGAAGTTTTATGAATTTGTTAGTGAGATTTCTATGTTGAATGTATTAATTTCTAGTGTCAAGGATAGTGTTTTGGCTGCGTTTGATAGGCGTTTGGGTGGTTAATAGAGTCGAATTTTGTGTAGAATAAAACATTTGTATTTTATAAGTAATAATAACATCACTGCCATGTATGACCTTACTGTTTATATTGTAATAATACATTTTTATTAAAGAATTAAAGTACGGTATTTGTTTTTCTTTTATGTCCTTACGTTAATTTAAAAAAAAAATACGATGACTAACAATAAAAAATGCATATTGTATCGTCTTCATCAATTCGTGAACTGTCCATTACAAACCGGTGATTGACTACTATCCCACTAGCAGGGCTAGCATGGGCAAGAGAGAATTTTATCCCCGGGGAAATGAGAATATGTTTATCCTCTCGCTTAGATTTATGTTTTTGTTTCATTGGTGTGCCCATGCTCGAAGGGTGTACCCTTCGAGCATGGGCACACCGGTGGATATAATATCCACAGTAGATAAAATGGGATATAGTCTAAGGCCGCGTTCAGACGACACGCACCCGCTATTTGCACGCCACGCGCGTCAGCACCCGCGTCTAACTAGCTTTGAAACTTGTTGCATATGATTCTACGTGGTAGAGCCATGCTGCAGCTATATTATTGTTGTAGCACGAATGGGTCGGCTCGAACGGGGAAGGACCACGCTCTCACAGAAAACCAGCGTAAAATAGCAGCTTAACGATGCTGTGTTTCGTATGGTAAGTGTAGAGAACCGGAGACCCTTTTTACTGGCAAAGAGGCATTCCATCTTAGTCCTCACGAGTGACAACGCATCTGCATCTTGAGTCTTTATTGAGGATAGATGTAGATGTCTATGGGTCACAGTAACCACTTACCATGAGGTGGACTGTGTGCTCGTTTGTCACCGATGATTTGAGTCTTATGACACATTAATAAATCTGAAATTGCATTTATCGACGTTCAACCGCATACGCCACGCGCCTGCCTTGTTCCCGCTTTGCGCTGGCTCTGCACCCGGCCCCCCTACGCCTTGCGCCCGCGTTTCGCCTAGTGTTGTATTGACTTGACTGTGATCAAGTTTAGTGGCTTGATAGGTTTTTAATCAAATAATAATGGATGACATCGATAAAGAAACATTTATTTCTTTGGTGGAGGAAAAGTACGTGCTGTGGGACAAAACCCTTGAAAGTTATAAAAATAAAAGAAGAACTTTACAGGCCTGGCGTTTATAAATATAATAACTTTTTTTAATTTAGACGAATCCACTTTGTTGCACACGTACTTACGTTATGACCTCTGGAAGCCACTAGATCACTGCACTAACTGTATAAGCGGTCGCGAGGCGTGCGCTAAGGCGGGCACAACGCGTGTGCAGGTCCTGTGCGTGGTCGGCGCGGGTCATATGAACATGCCCTTATGCCCGGGCTACACTAACGAAAAATGCCGCCAATTATCGCGTTGATGGGCGTTGAATGTAGGTGTGGCCACCACTTAACGTGATAATTCTACAACGGCATGAACAATGCCGTTTGCCGTTGGGCGATAACTCGAGTGGCGGTACATCAAAGAGATTAACGCGTTGAAGTGGCCACACTACGTTTGTCTTATTGTGCACGATGAGCGCAACGGGGTCGCACGTAAGGCTGTGAGTGGAATAATGAAAAAGTTATTACGTTTCTTAAGATTCTGCAACCAGAGTCATGCTTAGGCAATGATAAAATATGTTCATATAATAAAAATTTACACTCGTCAAATATAGAGTTACAGCGTCAACGTTCATCTTGCTTGAAATTCAAGGAATATTAGCGTAGTGACCATACGTCCCGTTTTGAACGGGACTGTCCCTTTTTCGATCTCCCTGTTCCGTTGTACCCAAATACAGCTCCGGAACGCAAAATAGTCCCGTTGTCCTAAACAGCGAGAAAATTTAAAACGTCAAGTCAGACGAACGTTGTGAGAGCGGTACCGATCAAAAAATAACCGAATGGGATAATTTCAAATTTTCGCAGAAATTCGTTGGGTCAACATAAATTTTTATGCATTTTAATCAAATATATTTTATGTCTACCTGGTACAAATGCTACAGTAGAAAAAGTATTTTTCTATTGTGATTAAATTGTGGACTTCTGAAAAAAAAATCACTTACAGGTTCCAGTTCTAAAGGCGATGTTGATAACAAAAATCAATGTAAAAAAAACTTGCTCAGAATTTTATTCTGTTCTGAATCTTCTGAAGTTTATGGGTATTGTCGTTTCTCGTTACTGTGGCCCCAGCATTAGTGACTAATATCGTCATCTTTGCCATTTCGGGACTGTTCATACCCGTGCTTACTGTTCATTCTTGCTAGCGTGCGCTTTATTTTGCGCCCAAAAGCAATGAAAAGGGCTACCCTCCGGGAAGCGGGGGAGGGAGGTGGTGAATGCTCTAAGCATACCACGACAGCCGGATGTGTGGTTTAGTGGGACTCACTGCGAAACCTAAGTGCCTATCCACTAAACACCACCTGTGAGACTGGATAAGATAAGATAATCATTTATTGTCATAACTGTGTACATGAGATCTTACAAATACAGAGTATAGTTACAACAGTTTGTCCATTTCGGACGTACAATATAATAAAAATAAAATAAAGCACTACAATAAATCAATAATTACTTCCAAAAAATTCATCTAAATTATAAAAACATTTTGATAATAACCAGTCTTAGATTCTGATTCCGCTTATTAAAGTACTTTTACTATAAATGTAACTAGATGATTTAACAATGCACACATCAAAAGCATATTAAGTTCGCAAGTTCTTTTTTGATTCTTTTTTAATATTAAAATGTTGTTGGTTATCTTTGACAAACACAGAAATTTCAAGTAGGTAAGTATGTACATACAAGTCAACGTCAGAAATTTAAAATCTATAAATACGTTTCTTGATGAGTCATATTGATTAATATTATACATAATCCTTAAGCATTTTTTTTGCAAAACAAATGTGGACTGAATGTCAAGAGAATTGCCCCAGAATATAATTCCATATGTCAGAAGTGGATAGACATGACCATAGTAATTATTTTTTGCTACATCTCTAGATGCTGCATTATTTAATATTGATATGGCGTAACAACTGCTTGAAATCCTACTGTTTATTTTCTCAACATGTGATTTCCAGTTCAAATTACTCTCAATGGTGACACCCAGAAATCTCATCAATTTTATCGCCGTCGATTATAATATTTAATTCAATTGGAGCTTTTCTATAATTCCTAAATTCTATTAGTTTTGTTTTTCCCAAATTTACTTTTAAATTAATTGAAGTTAGCCAGTTCACTACTGTGTTTAGTGTGTTATAAATTTCATTCACAAAATTTGCATCATTTAGTTTATCTCTTGATAAGAATATTGTAGCATCATCAGCATACATTACACATAGATGATTGATCATTAATAGAAGCTCGTTTATGTAAATCAAAACATCAGTGGGCCTAGTATGCTACCTTGCGGTACACCTAGGCTGTAAGTGGGAATGCACTTGAGTTATTGATTTTGTTTTTTTGTCAAATGTATCTAATATTGTCGCCTGTATTCTGACATTTAGATAAGATTCCATTCATTTTAGGGCTATTCCACGTATGCCTATATGTTCAAGCTGTTTTATCAATATATTATGAACAACAAATTCAAAAGCTTTTGACAGATCCAAAAACAGACCAACACACGTCCTTTTTTGATCTACATCTTTGCACATATCTTTCAAAACTTTGAATATAGCCAATGTCGTGTTCTTCCCTTTTTGAAACTCATATTGATTTACATTTAAAACCTTATATTTGTCTAAAAATGATATTAACATATTTGATATGACTTTTTCGAATATTTTTGAAAAATTTGATAATAGCCATTTTGGCACCTTTTTTGTATAAAGGCTTTATTAGTGCTTGTTTCAACTCATTTGGAAAAAAATCCTGTTTCTAAGGCTAGCCGCACACACGCAATAATATTGACAATAAAGTACGTATTGTCAATAATATTGTGCGTGTGCGGCCTGTATTGCGATATTGTTCAATAATATTGTTGATATCCAGAAATTCTGATTTTGTCTCGTCAATATCGGGGGGAGGCAGGGGTATTGTCAATAATATTGCCGTTTGCGGGCGCGCGGCAATATTTTAGTTGAGAAAAAGATTTCAAGGAAGGCGGATGTTCGTTTTTTATTCAAAATGGAGGACGAAAACAATGTTGATATTAGTATTCTCACGCAAAATCAATATTTGTCAATATTTATTAAAACATTGGAAACTTATCCAGAATTATGGAATACATGTTGCGAATCATATCGCGATAAAGTAAGGAAAAATAATGCGCTTGATAAGTTGCTCGATATTTATAAACAAATGAAACCAAATAGCACGAGAGAAGACGTCAAGAAAAAATTAAATGCCCTACGAACAAATTTTCGGAAAGAGTTAAAGAAGATTCACAAATCGAAATCATCAGGAAAGGGAACCGATGAGGTTTACGTCCCGTCTGCGTGGACGTATTATGAATTGCTGTTTTTAACAAATGATGAACAGCCAATAAAGAAAACTATAGAGGTTAGTTTATATTTTTTAATAAGTTTATTAATTACTCTCCGTAGGTTAGTACAAAAAACTTAGATTAGGTATTTAAACTACAAAAGTACTGACAATAATTGTCTCTTATTATTTTAGCATTTATAGTTGCATTTCTATTTTGAGTAGACTGTAGATTAGTTATACTGACTGATGGTGATTCCTTTTCTTGGTTTAAATAAAGGGAAGCGTTTTCTTTAATTAAAAAGTTGTGTAAGTAACAACAGGTTAAAGTCATTTTCGTTGCTTTGTCTGGTTCTAGATTTATAGCTTTTTGAAAAATACCAAAACGTTTAGCCAAAATACCAAAAGCACACTCAACCGTTGATCGAGGCCTTGATCATTTTTGATTGAATATCAGCTCATTAGAGCTGCAGTTTTTCTGTGAGTATGGCTTCATCAAATTTGGGCCCAAAGCGAACGCTTCATCAGCCACAAATACGTAAGGAAATAAGTGTGTCATGTTTGAAAGATTAATTGGGTTAGGCAAGTTAAGTAGACCTTGTTCGTAAGACTGCCAAAATTTTGAATAGAACAGGACTCCACCATCAGATATCCGACCATTGATACCAACATCAACCATCATAAATTCTTTACGAGCATTTACTAAAGCCAATAAAATTATACTATGGAATCCTTTATAATTAAAGTAACGTGAGCCTGCATTTTTGGGCATAATAATCCCCACGTGCTTGCCATCTAGCGAGCCTAAGCATGTAGGGAATCTATGAATGCGTCCAAAATCATCGGCCACTTCTCTCCACTCTTGCTGTGTTGAAGGTGTCTAAAACAATAAAAGAAATAAACATTATCATAACTTGTTATTAACATTTTATTTACTTGTCTTTATATATTACAGGAAGACAAAGAAAATGATCAAGACCAATATAGCTATTCGATTAGCTCAATGGATCCACCTCCAACTCCAGTATCGGAAAATAAGAAAAAAGGAAAATGACCAGCAAAACCTTTTACAGAGGACTTTATCGTTTTTGGAGATGGATTCTTCTGATAATCAAGAAGAATATCATCTTGCCAAAGTCTGGGCCGCTAAATTGACAAAACTGGAGTCTACACAAAAACGTTTTGCGGAAAAGGCAATTAACGATATTTTATTTGAGGCACAACTTGGAAAATTAAACAAAAACTCAGTGAAAGTTAATGAGCATGTACCATATACTTCATCGCCTTTGCTGCCTAGACAGTCACTATATCATCCCAGAGTAAACTATATTCCATCACCTAGTCAATCACCAAGCACACAAGATTCAATTTTGAGATACAATTTAACACCTTCGCCACATTCTATATATATGACAATGAACATAATATTGATAATACTATTACTATGAAACCTCCACAGATATTGTCCAAGACTCAAAGTCACCATCAACCAATTGTAACCACCGGTATTCCATCTCAAATAATATTAAGGCATCCACTGACACGATTGCAACAGTTTGGGTATGGTCCACAAGACACAATATCACAAGAAAATAAACAAAATAATAATATAACTTCTAATGTTATAACATTTGAAGGCGACGTACATGCCAAGTATACTCCAAAAGAAGATATTTCAATTTTTTTTCAGTCCTAATAAGTGTTTTGTGAATATATTAATAAAAACTACAATTTATTACCAAGTACTACTTGTATTAATAAAAGGATTATAATATTTTATTTGTTTTAGTTCAAATCAAAAACAAAGTGTATTTATTGCAAAAAACAGCAAAATACACATACATAGCATTGATAGTATAATTATTATTATCTAAGTATCTAGTGATTACCAAATACATAGCTTAGATGTTTAAATATTTAATTATTACTTACTTTTAAATAATCTTGCAAGACGTAAATTAACGTGTTACAAGTGTCCAGAACTGCTCCGCTTATAGCCCTTGGGGATAATAAAGTTGAATACTTCAAGTCTTCAAAACTTCTGCCAGTCGCTAAAAAGCGTAAAGTAACTGCCAACTTTTCTTCAGGTGTTAGCGATTTTCTCATGTGTGTATCTTTTTTCTTTAAATAAGGTGAAACTAAAGATAATAGTTTTTGAAAGCTGCTATCTCTCATTCTCATATAATTTTTGAAATCATTTTCTTCTGTAACTCGTAGTTCATTTATTAGATTAAAGTGATTTAACTCGGCTTTTTTTCTCATCCAGTCCTTAATCAATCTTTTCTTTCTTGATTGCCTTTTCTTAGTTAGTAAAATTAATGCAATACTCAATGCAACGCCTTTTTTCTTTCTATCCATTATATTAAACGTGCACACATGAATCTAGCTGCAGAGCGACTAAGTCAGATTGTACCATGAAAAATTGCCAATAATTGCATAGTGTGCGGGACCATATATTGATGAAGATTTTTGACAATCTTGCATTGACAATATTATTGTGTGTGTGCGGCTAGCCTAGGGTCAAGTATATAATATACGTTAGAGGTTCCGCTATTAAATGTGTACTTGATTTTATTGCTTTCATCGGTATATTATCGTAGCCTATACTTTTTTTGTTCTTTAAATTATTTATAAAGTTAATAGTTTCGGAAATATTTACAGGGATCATAAAAATGCTATTTAAATTTCGATTAGTCACTGGTTTGAATGTTATATTGCTAATAGATTGGATAGGATTATTTAATTTGATATAATAGTCATTCATTAATTTAGCTATGTCATGTTTTTTTTTATAGGAGAGGGGGGCAAACGAGCATGCGGTCACCTGATGGTAAGTGACTACCGCCGCCCATGAACAGCTGCAACACCAGGGAGGGAATCGCAGATGCGTTACCGGCCTTTTAAAAAGGAGTACGCTCTTTTCTTGAAGGTCCCTAAGTCGTATCGGTCCGGGAAAATCGCTGATGGTAATCGATTCCATAAGGAAGTCGTGCGAGGAAGAAAACATCTTCTAAATCGCACATTGGTGGACCGCCAATCATACAGATGGTGTGGATGGTATCGGGAGTTCTGCTGCGATGTGCGTTCGTGAAATTTGGCGGCTGGGATTAATCCGAACAATTCCTTAGAGCAGTAGTGTAGTTGTACCACTTCTAGACCACCTGAGTCAGACGTGGTTCAACGACGTTCGTCGACGTCCGATCCTAAAAAAAAAAAAAAAAAAAAAAGTTTTGGCATGCTCTGATCACGAATCCGCGGTCCATTTTTGTGTAGAATGCACGGTTCCGGAGATGTGTAGATCAATTAGCTAATATCTAATTGATATCCGGTAAGGGCCTCCACCGTCATTAGCGTCCCATTGTTCCTATTTCTATTGTTCTATTGTTCCTTAATCACCTTCATTGCAGCGTGTGCGTCGACTATATCAGTGCTATTGTTTATTATAATTCTTTGTTTATACAACGCTAATCTGAATCATCAATAAAACACATTACATAATTTTGTTACAATTTTTATTTATAAAATACAAAATCTTATTAATTATTATCTATAAAATAGGAGCGAAACATCTCATCCACTAAAATATCGTTGTACAATGTGTTCCTTGTAAATATACTCGTAAAACTATGTATTGAACATCCTTGAAACTTATATAGTAAATACATTAAGCAATATTCGCCACAAACTGAAGTCCACTCATTCTGAATCCTATCAACATTCCAGTTCCATCTTTTACAATTCCTTTTTAAAAACTCTAGATGATATCGTACAGGTGATCGTCCATATGAATCAAAATATTGACCGACGTCATTCGTATCGATATATAAAGCTACCCAATGTGACCCTGGTTTATCATCTGTATCCAAATTACATATTATATACGTTGGTACGTGGGTATACATAGGCAGTCTATTAGCTGCATAAACATTATTTTCTAGACTGGGGTGAATCTTTTTCAGATGTTGTTGTACATCTAGTGTATCCATGATATTACTGCTATTAGTAGATTATTACAGTACCTAGCTACTCAATGAATAACATAGGAATGGTCAATTATAGTGATTTCTACATATTAAATTGCATTTTTGTGATATACAAATCGTACTTGAGTCATTGATCACCAAACAAAACACAATACGAAGAAATGTTGAGATAGGCAACGGAAATGTGAGATAAACTGATATGTTTCTAAATATTAAATTGCATTTTTGTGTTATACAAATCGTACTTGAGTCATTGATCACCAAACAAAACACAATACGAAGAAATGTTGAGATAGGCAACGGAAATGTGAGATAAACTGGTTGACGCATAAAGTAATTATCAACTCATTACGGAAATACTTTAGATTAGAATTTTTACGTACTGGTGGTATATAAGACCAACAAACGCAGTCATCGAGTTAGTGTACGGTCGTTTGGCTACAGTGGATCTATCAATAGTACATTTTGTGTTACTTCAATACACCAAAGGCTATGGATGTAAGTGTTTATTCTATTGACTAAATTACTTTTTTTCTGTTATTTTCATGTGTGTGTATTATTTTATTTAAATATTGTGTATGTATATGATTAAGCCGTGGTAACTCAGATGGTTAGCGCTAGCTGTAAATTTCACAGTACGCGACCCGGGTTCGATCCCTGCCAGCACCAATTAAATTGTTAATAGCAATTTTAAGTGCTTATTACCACGTGCTTGGTGGTGAAGGAAAACATCGTGAGGAAACCTGCATGTCTGAGAAAATTTCGAAGGCATGTGAAGTTCGCCAACACACATTGAGGGAGCGCGGCGGACATTTCCTTGCTCTAAAACCCTCTCAGAAATGAGAGGAGGCCTATGTTCAGCAGTGGACTTTAATAGGCTGTAACTTTAACTTTTTTAACTTTTATGATTAAGTGTTAACAAATTGATATTAACATGATAACTGTGTTGTTGCAGAAATCATTGAGCTTCGATGAAGATACCTATAAACAGTATTACTACTCGCCACTCTCCCCTCAAGAAGAGAGTGATAACCTCGTCATTAATAATAACACATGCGATGGTGGAAAAAGAAAATCGCAATCGATTGATCATTTTTTTGAAGCTGAATCAAAAATAAAAAAGAGGAAGCTGTTATCATCAACCGTAGCACGAGCCGCTAGAGATGGTGTATCATACATTTCTACTAATTCTGAAGACGGAGACCAAGCGACGCATCTCATCAAAATTGAAATGTACGATATGAAGAAGCTATCCAAGATTCCAACTACTGATCATTGGAAACATGCTTCCACGAGAATTAAATATTACGTAAAGACTAATAAGGATAGCATCTACGACAATACAAACGCCCTCGTATACAATATAACAAAGACAATAGCAGAAAGTGAAAAAGTTAAAAAATACTTTTTTAACAATGACAGTCATTAGCTGATCATTAGTGAATGTGATTCTGTTTACTTCAATTACAGGAAGACAAGAGCGGAAGGAAGAGATGAGTGTGGCATACGTGTACAAAACACATCATTGAATAACAAAACTACAACACTGAGTGGAGAAGAAAACGAGAAGAGTATGCAGTACTCAAGAGCTGAATATCCATTCTTCAGTTCAAAATCTAGCCGTTTGCTTAGTTTCGAAAACTGGCCTCTAGTTATGCGACAGAAACCTGAAGATCTTGCCGAAGCTGGTTTCTTTTATACTGGCCATGCAGACGGGACCAAGTGTTTCCATTGTGGTGGTGGTTTAAAAGATTGGGAAGATGATGATGATCCTTGGCAGCAGCATGTTCAGTGGTTTAGTCAGTGTGCTTATGTAAAATTTCAACTCGAACAGTGTTTTGTATTAGATTAAATAGAAGATTTATAAAGAAATAAAAAAAATATATTGCATACAATTTGTTTTATTTAATTTTATAACGTTTCACATAGTTACATACACACAAAATGCATTACACATAACACATAAAATCTAACACACAACACATATTATAACCTTAACTACTATAGTCTACAGTAACATTTCTGTTTTTATCTATCTCAATAATATTATCAAACTCAGCATAAACTATACAGTTAATTGTTTGTATTAATGAGGATTCAAATCGTATTTCTATTCTTACACTACCATGCTTTATGAGATTCCAATGAGTTGATGAGTTAGCTGATAAATCAGGAGTTAAGTCAAATGCTAATAGACAGTAACCTTTGCCATACTGTTCACAAGAGATTCCATTTCCTTCATTAAGAAAGTGAATACCAGTTCCCGAGAATAGAGTATGATATGCTGATGTAAATATGCTATTATTAAAAGATGGTTGCAAAGCTTTTGAAGGTATTTGTTGACCATCAATATATAAGCTGAAAGAATTAATACCATAGTTTTCAAAGTTAAATGGATTTTTAGTAAGGGAACCATTAAATGCAGAATTGTTCACAAATCCAATTATACATCTTTTCGGTACCTGTCCTAAAAATATATTATCAAGAGTTTTTCCTTGAACACCTGAAGGAATTGTTAAAACTTTTACTTCAGCTCGAGTAATAGGATATTTAGCAGTGGTAGAAGTTAAAACTTTTTGATGTGCGAGTAATACACTTGGATTAATTCGTGCTCGTCGCACAATAAGAGTTGCGTCCGTAATGCAAACTTTAAACTTTACATCGTTCGACCCAACAATTAAATTAAAACTCTCTCTTGATCGAACCAATTTAACACTCATTTCAACACCATTAATTAAAAATTTATCTTGGTTAAAAATGTCACCGTGAAGATGACCAATCATTTCTATTTCCTTACTTTCACTAATCAATTCCTGTCTTTTAACAAATCCTATGTTTTTACCATCTGTAGAATCCATTTTTCCTGCTGTATCCTCATACCAAAGACTACAAGTAAGATGAGATTGTTTAGCAGCAGGGGCATAGTTTAAAAGGGTTTCCATGTATGCTCGATATGCATAGGTATTATTAGGTGGTGATACAAGTTTTTGGTTTAAATAAACATCAAGTTGACTAAAAAGTGAATGCAGCCAATTATTACAGGTGCTACTATTGTAGTAGATACCAAGTTAGTTGAATCTTGATTTAATACTTTTGCCTTTATGTGGAGTAATGTATGAGACAAATCTATGTAGTCATCGCCGGTCCCAGGAACTTGAAACTCGATAGGTCCATCATCACCAAGAGATGAAATTGGTTTATAATGAATCCACAATCCATTTTCAATGCTAGTTTGTGTAGACGGTAGTGCAAACAAATCCAATTCTGACTTAACGCACTCGCAAGAATGATTATGAAGGAAAGACATATTTAGTTTGAAAATATATCTTTGATATTTTTTGGTTTTAGACTAAGTTTTTTCGCAGCTTTCACTTTAGCAGTTAATGGTGGAATGAACGATGTCAATCGTTTTCTTTTAGTTTTATACCCAGATCCAGTCATGTTAAATTGATCAATTTTCTCATCAGCCTTTCGTTTTAAATTCGTACTAACTTGCTTTAGACGATCTTTTATTGAGGCTTCCATAGGACGGGCTTGAACCATATCCGATAAAAGTCCTACTCCAGCGCTTAATGCCTCCTTACCAATCACTCGAGCACCACTTGAAAGTAAAGGTAAAACTGATCTGAATAACCCCCCTAAGAAGCTCCCAATACCATGACCGCGTTGATATGGTGAACCCTTATAAATTACTCCAACTCCTGATCCAGCTTGATGTGTATAATAATTTTCATATGGACATTTATGATGATCACGAAGAGAATTCATTATTATAATTTTCGGAAATGTAGTTTAATACACACGGTTCCAAACTGGAATGGTATTTTTTGTCCTGTACTCGATCTTATAACTATTTCCAACGTATCGAACTCTCTTCGCATAACAGGTAAGTAGTGAGGTTGAGAGAAAACGTGCATTTTATTTGCACCATAAATGTATTTTGTAGGATCTAATGAAATGACTCTTAATAAAGGAGTCATAACATCACCCACAATCTGAGGATCGATAATATCGCAATATAGAAATAGTTGAGATGGTAACCCTAAGTGTAAATTAGCAGGACACTTTCCAAAATTTCTCTCTAGGAGATTTTTATTTGGTTCATAACCTAGCTGTAAACTTAATTTGGGTGATAATGTTACGGATGTTATATTTTTATCCAATACCGAAATAGACACAAATTTTGTTATTTCATCATAGCGAAATTTCAAGTTCTCTCCGATACCATTTAACACTCTTAAAATATGCTCAACGTTATCATAGTTGGTAGCTGGAATATGTTTTTTGTAGTACACTGTGGATGGCTTATCTTCATTAGGCATTAACATAGATTTTGTAATGTATATAACATTTTCATGGTCTTGAACAGTAAACATGGTACATGGATATTGAAACTCGACAACTCCAACCGACCATTCACCTTCTAATTTTATAGCTTTTGGTAATTTCGTTGAAAAATTTGTGGTCTTGTTATCAGGAAAGTATTCCATTGAACTATTGCTGAGCAAAGTTAAATAGAAACTTTCTTTATTCATATTTCTTTTAAACTAGAAGCTAAAATCCAACTGTTAAATTTATCTGGATAACCTTTCCACTTCACTAATACTTCTTTTCTGTTACCTGAATAACGAGTGTCAATTATTTTATCTATTTTATGTTGTGAGGTGGGGTTGTAAGTGATTTTCTGTAATTCTCTTTCATAAAAAGTACCAATTATTGGTTCATTTTGTAAATCTGTTATTGTATAAACAACCCATGGAGATCTATCAATTATTGAAGATATAATAAATATTTCATCACTCCAATTTGATTCATATCCTTTTTGGAATACATGTTTATATTTAGTTATTCGAACATAATCACCCACATTGAAATTTGGTTTAGGATTTTCTAAAGAAAGTTTTTTTGACCGTCTATCATAAAGATTAGTCCAAACTGTCATAATATTGTTGGAATTTACATCACATGGGCACATCTTAATACTAGAGTGAAAGCTGTGATTATAAGAGTATATTAAATCTTGTAAAACATCTATATATCTATAAGTATTATTATGAGTGAAATAACGCCACATTTTCATTTTTAGTGTTCTTTGAAATCGTTCAACAATACTGGCCTTAATGTCAGGATTGTTAGTGGTATAGTAATTAATCTTTTTGGATTTAAAGTATTTTTGTACATCTTTTGAAACAAATTCTGTACCTTTATCGGATTGTATGTGAGTAGGTGTTAAATTACTTTCAGTAAATATACTTTCAAAACATTCTTTAGTTGTTTCTGAGTTTTTCTTTTTCATTGGTCTTGCAAAAGCATATTTACTAAATACATCAATAATACAAAGTATATACTTGAAACCATCATTATATTGAGAATAAGTTCGCATATCACTTAAATCAGCTTGCCACAGTTCATTAATATTTGATAGAATGTACCTATTACGCGGGAATTTTTTTCGAATGGGTTTATGTAATGTGTATGTTTCTTGTGATTTTAACCATTCCTTTACTTGCTTTTTAATCATTTTACCCTTCATGGCTTTTGATAATTTATCAATACTACCAAAACCAGCGGGATTAGATGGATCATAATAAATCCTGTTAATTTCTTCTAGTACGGAGTCCATTTTTCCCACTCAAGTCCTTTACGTATTTTAGTTGTAGACTTTTTATCTCTACTGCACGGTGTAGAAAACTCTTGAACTTCAATCTCAGAGGGTTTGTTCAGATCTTTTGCTTGAAGTTGGTTAATAAACTCATATCTCCTTGGATTTCCAATATAAGTAAGTGGTACTTTAATATCTTTTAATGCTTCAGCAAATCTAACCCACCCTACCGGATCACTTCTTTTTAGGGGTCTTAGTGAATCATTTATTAAATCAACAATATTACTTCCAGGAATTTTTTCACTATCAATTATGACTGTACCTTCGTTATCCCAATGTATTTTACTTTTACTTGTTTCAACTAAGTTTAATAATAACTGCCCTTTTTTATGATAAGTTTTTGGTATTAAACTGAGTATTTGAGCTGGTGTGTAAAGTGGATTTTCATCATTTTCTTTACTTTTAATGGATCGATTCTCCTCCAGCAAAGATTCAATATCAACTGAAGTTTTTAGATCTCTATCTTTATTTTTAAAACCAATTTTTGACTCATTTGAATCTTCATTAGATGTATCAGAATAAATTGGTAATTTGAGTGGTTGACGATCCTCTTCGGTAAAATGAAGGTATCTTTGCAGTGTTTGTAAATATAATATCCATTTCTTTCGGTCTTCCGTCTTACTATTCATAATATTTTGCATTTCAATATCTAATCGAGATAAATTACTATTAACCTTATTTTCTTGTTTTAATTTTTCAATCAATCCAGGTTCGATAAGTATCATTTTCTTTGCATTTTCCATGTTAACTGGCTAGTCCACTCACTAATCCACTCAATATTGCACCTAATATTGTTGGTAAGAAAGCCCCTCCTTTTTGTATAATTATATTTTTTCTTAGTTTTTGTTTACACTTACGTACTAGTTTACGGAGTATGTTTTTATGTTTATTCAATTTTTGTTTATCCTGATCTTTAAGAGGTACTTTTCCTTGTAAAACGTTATGAATACACTCACAAATACAGTTAATTTCTTCTTCATCACACGTTTTAAGTAATGCTCTTTGATATTTTGGTTTAAGCGTATGCAAAGCGGTTAGCAAATGTTTATACGTTGTGAGTCGACGATGCATCATTTAGCAATGATTTCAATTGTTTGATTCTTGGTGTATTTAAACTCTTTTGTGGGGACGTAGACTGTACAGAAACCATTAAATGGAAAGACATTTGTCTTGATACGACAAAAATCATTGGTATTCTGTTTTAAATCTACCATTAAATATCCATGCGCCTCTAGAGTTGCATCCCTGTAGGCATTTTCAATGAATTTTGGGTTATCTGGTGATACTTGTCTTGCTAAATATCTTATTTGAGTTTTATCTCGAGGGTTTTTAAAATATATTATATAACTTGAGTTTAAAGATATGTCTCTTTGTCCTTTACCCTGATGAAATAAATTTTGTGTTAGATAAAATACACTAAGATTCCTGTGATGACTACCTTTTGTAAATATATCCACAATTCTTCCATCGGACTCTCTCATTAGATCATCAATAATAACAAGATGTGGGTTTTCACCATCAAACATATTAAGATTTGGAATTCCTTGATGATAGTTAACATTTGGTAAATTATATAATGGTTGCATTTCATCAAAGCACCATGTGATCTGATTAAAATCACAATTACATATTTCTGTAACTGATTTTATGAAATTTGTTACAAAATTTGACTTCCCACACCCACTTGGTCCTGCCACAATAGCAGTGAACGGATGGATAAAGTGAAACATAACACACGTCTAAAGTTCAAAGGGGTGAAATAAAAAATGAAAGTGTTGGTGTAAACAATTAATATATATTCCAAAAATTATATAAAACAGAATTATCTGTATACTATTTCTAACACAATTAGTACATCATAATTTTACAATTAACTCAACCTCAAATAAATAGAAACAACAATTAGTACATCATAATTTTACAATTAACTCAACCTCAAATAAATAGAAACAACAATTAGTACATCATAATTTTACAATTAACTCAACCTCAAATAAATAGAAACAACAATTAACTTAAATTATTTACAATAAAACAATGTTTAAATATGTAATAAACTACGTCATATTATAGTATTATCATAATTTTACAATCAATATAAATTTTTCTTAAACGCAGACATAAAAGTAAAAACTATCAACACTTAACGCAGTTTATAATGACCCCAAGCTAATGTTTCAATATTATTATCTAAAA